TTCTCCTGCCTCAGCCTCCTGAGTAGTTGGGATTATAGGCACCCACCACCACGCCCAGCTAATTTTTGTATTTTTGGTAGAGATGGGGTTTTACCATGTTGGCCAGCCTGGTCTTGAACTCCTGGCCTCACGTGATCCACCCGCCTTGGCCTCCCAATCCCAAAGTGCTGGGATTATAGGCGTGAGCCACCTCGCCCAGCCTTACTATGACTGATTCTAAGCTACCAAAGTGATGTCACTAAACGTGGAGACATGCAGCAGCACACCAGTGTACTGAATCTCCACTGTACAGATACAGCAGGCATAGATAATAGTACAGTCAATAATCAGGACGTGCTGAGTTTTACATATTTATTACCTCTGTTTTAAATAACTTATTCAATTGCCAGCTTATGTAGTCTAATTCTTAGTGGCTGTATTTAACAACCAGCCCACAGAATTCTTGAAAATTTACCAGTTGGCTCTCAAGAACCTGTGGGAGCTGGCTCTGGCACTCCACAGGGGGTTCAGGGCTGGGGAAGTGACTTCCTAGTGGCAGGGGCAAGGGGAGTGAGTTCAGCTCAGTGGTGTCCGGTGCCCCATGGCAACGGGGTTTTCAGCTTAGCTGAGCCCCACTCTGAGTGCTCCTTGGGGCCTCCACCGCTAGTACACAAAACCACTGCCTGTGGACCAGCCTGTCTGGTCTCACTGTGCCCATGTTAATCAGGGCAGACTTCCCTGAAGGATAGAAGGCTAGCATGCCTTAGTTATCTGATTTCTGGAAGAGGTGGAGACACCGGGGAGGGCCCTGACTCAGTTGCATGGGTGTGGGCTGCTGGGCCGGTGCCAGGGTTCCTGATGACTCTGCCAACCATGAAGGTCACACAGCTTTCAATAATTCGCTCATCCTAGTGATTCCATTGTTACTTAACCACCATTAGTGGTGCCCTGTCACCACAAGATAAAGTCCAAACTCCTTAGCCTGGTTTGTGAGGTTCTGAGGATTTTCTTAATTGGGCTCTGAGGAATTTAACCCTTGCACACCTAGGCTCCAGGAGAAGCCAGACTTTTCACCTTCTGGAAAATGCTGTGCCTTTTTATACTTCTGGGCAGCCTCTCAGCCAAGAGCACCTCTGCTTTCTCAACCCAGAAAATCCTGTCCCTTCTCTTGACCCAGATGATTTATTACCACTTTTTGAAATTTAAATTTTAACACATTGATTTTTTAGGGGTGAAGTCTCACTATGTTGTCCATGCTGGTCTTGAACTCCTGGGCTCAAGCAAGGCTCCAGCCTCAGCCTTTTAAAGTGCTGGGATTACAGGCATGAGCCACTGTGCTCGGCCTTTTACCCTTTTTAAGAAGCCCCAGAACCCCATCCCCAGCTGGAATATATTGCTTGCTTTTCCCTGCCTCTATGTCCTGGGTACATACCTGACTTCTTCTTCGTCTTCTTTTTTTTTTTTTTTTTTTNTTCCTGATCAAAAATTTTTTTTGCCTTTTAATTTATTTATCATTTCCACCTGTTTTTTTT